GGGTGCCTGGACTTGGATCATGTGCCCAGGCCTTAATCAGTCATTGGTGATATCATGATTGACTTAGATCCTGTCACACTCTTCACCCCCACCTTGGGTGAGACGGAGAGGAGGAAAGATGAATCCCAGTTACCAGAGAACTGATGAGTAGGTGTGGGGTGACACGGTATCCCTATCGTCCACCAGGGGAGATGCTGACAGCACCTCCTGATGGATGACACACTTACCACATACAAGCACTCCATGATGCCACTAAACCTTCCTGTCTCATCCAGAAGCAGAGGGTGCAGGTTATATGCAAATGCCCCCAAAGTTTGGTATTCATGTGTTATATTTCCCATTACAATGTCAGTGTTTATTATTTTTTATTTATTTTATTATTTTTATTATATTTCCCATTACCATGTCAGTCTTTGGTTTGTGAACAGACTTGAGCAGTTACTTAGTTACTTTCTCTTTGAGTATCTTGCCACTCTCCCATTCTTCCTAAGTGTGTTAGCATTCTAAGTCTTAGCAGACCTCTCCTTTCTGTTTAATGTCAGGGGATTATTTGATTCCCCCCCATACAAAGCTGAACTTAGAGTATCTAACAGTAATCAAAGCACTGGGTCCAAATGGGTTTGTTACTTTGAAGCCACTGTTCTCTCCACAGGACCAGAACACTGAAAAAGTCACTATTCCCCAAAACTCATTCATGCCACCTTTTAAACAATAGATGCTAGCAATGCTTAGCTATTCAGCCAACTACTTGCCTGGGTGGGGGGAGTCTGGCCTACCGAGGAACCACTTCCTCCCTCCTGCTGGAAACTGGTCCCTCTGCACAGGCAAATCAGGACCTCCAGCAAGCTGCACTGTTAGGCTTGGAAACATCCTTTAAACAAAGCCAAGAGAAGACTATACTGAAGAAAGAGCAGAGGATGGATATTTAAAGTTTATTAAGAAAATTATGGCTACTTAATGTTTTCACTTTATATTTGAGATTCAAACCATTCAAGCTGTGCAACAGACAGAGCACCCTTCCTAAAATGGATCTTCCTTGGCAGTTGCTGTGGCAACACAGAACACCTTAACCCCGATAATGATGACATTTCTTAGAAGGCAGTGCATTTTCTCAGCTGCACTGCAGATTTTTTTTGCATCATCTTTTACTACTGTTTCTTTTATTTTTATTCTTCAAACCAGAAAGTCAGGCATGTAAGTTCTAAATTTCACTCCTCTAAAGTACCAATGCAGAAACTACTTTTGCTATACAAAGGCAGAAACCCTCTGCATTTCTGTTGATGTTATCCCCAATAGCAGCTAGCTAACCTCCCTTCGTGTGTTCTGCTCCTGCTTATATCCTCTAACCTGCCCTTCAAAACTCTTGAGACACCCACCCACCGCTGTGCTCTCCCATGCCCTCGCTTTAAAAGAACAGCATACACTATGAACCCAACTCTCCTCCTCTTCTCCTGTTCCTTCTACTCAGTTATGACCCACACACCAGTCACACTCCATTTGTGTTCCATGCTTCCGATAATCCAAGTGTTAGAAGGACACATTCTGGGTAAATCATCCCACAGTGAATAGAAGCATCAGTTCATCTCCCTTTACCTCCCCTATGTTGGGAATTTATCTCAATGGTAGAGCACTTGCCTAGCAAGCACAAGGCTCTGGGTTTGGTCTTCAGCTCCGGAGGGGTGGGGGGGGAGTGCTAGTGACACAAACCTGATGAGCAGAGTCCAATCCCCAGTACTCATGTTTTAAAAAGAGAGAGAGAGAGAGAGTCTAATGCAGTGGAGCCCATCTGTAATCACAGTACTCCTCCTTGAGATGGAAGACAGACAGAATCACCCTGAGGCTCACAGACAGCAAGCCTGGCATACACAGCACAGCCCCAAAAACAACAGTATAGACTGCCTCAACAAGGGTGGGAAGAACGAACTCCTGAGAGTTGTCCTCTGAACTCCACAGGTGTGTCATGGCACCTGTATGCAACCAGATGCTTACACTAGTCGATTTAAAAAAAAAAAAATGTCAACATGGAAGATAGAAAATAAAAGGAAAAAAAGAAGGGAAGAAGAATCATAAGGGCCCTGTGTTGGGGGAGCCCAGGGCCCTTCAAACTGAAAGAAAGCAAGTGGAGCAGGTGCAGTGAGAGGTGGGCGGGGCCACAGGCACAAGGACTTCTTGATAACACCACCAAATCCTGCAATGATAGACGAATCCGTTCCAGACTAAGATGGTGCCAGTGGTGACAGAGATTAAAAGATACTGTCAGTGGAATTCCTGTCTTGCCCCCTTCCTCCTAGCTGAACGTCAGTGTAACAGTAAACTCTAGTCAGCAATAGTCTCTGTCTCCACAGTCCTTTATAAAAACAAATGATTCCTGGAGTTTTGCCTTTGCTGGAAGACCAGGATGGTACAGGGGGGTCAGGTGTTAACCATGCTATATACACCCCACTTCTACTTCTCTCGGCTTCCAAGAGAGCTTCCTCCCTTCCAAAATGCCATTGTTATGATGTTCTGGGTTTCGTAATGGGATTTTGATAGAGGAAATCAGATGAAGGAAAGTGGAAAGATGAACAATTCCAATGAGCCAAGGGAAGCTAGACTCTTTTTAGATGAGCTCTGGTTGAGGAATGTGGAAGAGCAGATGATTATACACGGTGCTTTCTGAAACTGGTGGGTGTGGAGGCTAAGATGGGAATGAGCCTGACAGCCTAGAAATTCCCTTCCAGAGTTCTTAAGCCAAAACAGTCTTCAAATGCTTTGGTGTTTAGCAAATTTACCCATTGGTATAATAGGATACTATATACTCATGATTTTAATCATTTTTAAATTGTATTTATAGGGGCATGGCAGGGCATACTACAACACACATGTGGAGATTGGAGGACAATTTGCCAGAAGTCTGTTCTCTCTGCCATATGAGGTGTCAGGGATCGACTCAGGTCATCAGACTTGGTGGCAAACACCTTTACCCTTTACACACTGAGCCATTCCACTAACCCACACTATATAATTAAATACTAATATTTTATAGTAAGGTTACATGTGCCAGTTTTGCCCTTTCATCAAAGAAGTTTCTGTCCACCAAGCCCTTTGATTAGATCAGTTCTACCTTGTCTTGCTCCTTGATCTGTTGTAAGTCTAGTTTATCCCACAACCAACACTGAAAGAATGTCAGGAGGCACAAGGAAGAGGAGAGTAGTGTCACAGCAGTTAGTCTCCTTCTGGGTTATAGGTGGAGGTTATCTCCCCTCCTTATTTCACATCAAACACATTGTAATGTTCAGCTTTAATTCTAAACTTGACACAGCTTAGAATCACCTGAGAACAGACTCTTGGTGAAGGGTTGCCTAGCTCAATTGACCTGTGGGAAACTATTGTAAGTTAACTGATATGGAGAGAAGCAGCCCACTGTGGGTGGCACCATTCCCTAAGCATGGGCTCTTGAACAGCAGAGAAAGTGATCTGAGCATAAGCAAGCAAGAGAACATGCATGCGCTCCTTTCTGCCCGCCCTTGGCGATGGATGCGCTGTAATTGGCTATTTGTTTTCTAGTCCCTGCCACCTTCACTTCCCCCAGGACTAGATGCTGGAATTGTGAGCTAAGACAAACCTTTTCTACCCTAAGTTGTTATTTGGGAGGGCGGGGGTCGGTTTTAGTTTGTTGTTTGTTTGTGAATTCAGACTTGTTGTCACAGCAATAGAAATGAAACTAGAACACACCTTCTGGGTCAGAGGTGGAGGTATGTCTCCATACAGCTTAGCTGTTTCAGAGAAGGAATAGGTTCCAAACAACTGGAAGAAGACACAGAACAGTGGAATGACAGTGTGCAAGATAGAAAGCCATATGAAAGCTTAGTGGACAGGCCACTACACTGCTAGAGGAAAGGACACAGAAGGCACTGCCTACCTGCACTCTCTGGGCAAGTCCAGTGACAATAAGCCAGACAAGTAGCAGCTTCCTCCCACTTAGTGACTGTCATAGCGCTTACTCTTTCAAGGACATCACCCTGTGGTCCCGTGGTGGCTGAACCAGGAGCACCTGTCCAGGGTACACATTTACTGTACCCGATTATCAGAGAGCAGCTTCAAAAGATTAGACTACACAATGGTGGCATTGCAAGGAACGTAATTGTAGAGAGCCATGGCTATTTGCAAAGCACATCCATGTGAAATCCTTGCAAGTTTTCCAAAGGCGTCACTTCCACTACCTTCACTTACCCTTTAGATCTTAGAGACAGATATAGCCACCAAAATGCCCAGGGATAGTACACACCAGCTGTCCACCCATGTTGGAGGCTTGTGGACACAGCTGTGCAGATCCCCCAGCATTGCTGTCCTCATCACTACATGAATCCTACCAAGCACCCCAGTAATCTGCAAGAGTGCCAGTCCAACCAAAGTCATGCTATGAGGTGTCCCCAACCCCAGTCTGTCCCTGCCATAATCTTCATCCTGGTACAGAAAGGCCTGGCGGTTGGCACAGTACCCTACCCTGTGAGCAGGGATGAAGAAATGATATTTGCTCACTAAGATACTGAAAGTTGTGTTAACAGGAATGTTCTTTGTTGAAGATGGATTTACTTTTTTTTTATGTGTGAGTGTTTTGTCTCCATGCTATGTATATGCTCCATGTGTGTGCCTAGCATCTGTGGAGGCCAGAAGAGGACATCAGATCCACTGTAACTGGAGCTATAGGCAGTTGTGAGTTGTCATGTCAGTGCTGGGAACTGAATTCTGGTCCAAAGCAAGTGCAGCAAGCTGAGTCATCTCTCCAGCCTCAGTAAATGGGGGGGTTGAAAAGAGTGTGTTGTTCCAGGGACCACCCATGCCAGAATCACATACTCAGGCTGAGTAACTTATCGATGTATATAATTCTTCATGTTTATGTCATTTATTGTATGTTTTCTGACAATGAATATAGAAAACTGTTTGAAGGTGAATAGGTATTTTTCTAAGATTTCTTAAATCTAAAACAGACATGTCTGGTTTTTTTTTTTCATTTTTAGATAACATACATACGACAAGAATATGAAATAAAACTCAAAGGGTTAATGCCGGCATCTCTAAGACAAGAACTTGAGGACACCATTTCCTCCCTGAAGTCACAGGTAACTCCTAGAGCTGAGGCTACTCTGAGATGTAGGTGGGCGTTTGTTCTGAAAGAAGCTCCGCCTCACTCCAGAAATCACTGGGAACCCAACACTAACCCATCACCAGCTTGAACTGGGTTAGTGCCCTGAGACTGGGTCAGTCATGGCAACTCTGATTCATTCACAGTCCAGTGCAGCTTCACCCTTTCTTCTTGGTTTGGGGTTCACAATGCCATTCTGCAACACATTGCTGGTTCCTTGCTATACTGAAGTATGGAGGAACAAAAGCATCATTCATTTAGAAGCATTTTCTCTGGTATATTTTATATGGTTTTCAAAGGTATATACTTTAAGTCCAAGGCAAAATAATGTTAAGACACTCAAACAATTAGGTTTGATGTTTCTTATTGAAGTGATTCCTAAAATGTAAGTGAGAGATAAACACTTGGGGAACTGAGCAGGAGAATCACAAAATCAGGTCCAGCATGAACTAGATAGCAAAATCCTTTCTCAAAACAAAACAAAAAACTACCCAACAGACTTCTGTATTTGTGTTGTTTTAAGGGTTTTTGGTTTTAGTGGTGGAAGAGTTTGAGATGGGTTTTACCCTATAGCAGTGACTATTCTGGAACTCACTCTGTGGAGCAGGCTGGCCTCAAACTCACAGAGATCCTGCCTGCCTCTGCCTCCTGGTACTTTGATTAAAGGTGTGTGCCATCATGTATTGAATGTTTTATGCATTGTCAGCCTATGAAGATTTGTGGGGAAGTGGGGGGGGGGTGTTTGGGGTTTTTTGTTGTTATTGATGTTATAGAAAATTTCTCTACATTGCTCTGGTTGTCCTGGAACTCACTGTGTAGACCAAGCTGGCCTTGAACTCACAGAGATTAAAGGTGTTCACCACACCTGGCTACCTATGAATTTTTAACTCCTATATGAGGAATCTGCATCATCTTATCTCCAACACACTGGGAAACTCAAGATATATGAATTCCTGTAATGGTTCCACAAGGGAAGGGTTTCTGCACTCTGAATGCTAAGAACTGTACCTGGTACATAGCAGGTGCTCATTAAATAATAAAATAACCAATGTAGTCTGATAATACTAACATGGGGTGTTACAATATGTAAAATGACTATGTGAAGCCAAACATGGTGATGTATACACCTTTAGTGCCAACACTTGTAAGGCAGAGGCAGGTGGATCTAGTGAACTCAAGGCCAGCTTTGTTTATATGGCAAATTCCTGGCTAGCCAGAGCTACACAGTGATGTGGGAGGGGAGACAAGAGGTAGGGGAGGTGGGGGAAAGATTGTGACATTTGCTTGGGTCAGACTAGCCTAGAACTTGCTAGAAAATGCAGGCTGGCCTCCAATTCCTGACAGTCCCACCTCAGCCTCCCCAGTCTTGAGCCACCATGCCAGCCTGAAGCAAATTTTAGCTGATTCTTTTATATTTCCCTCGGTAAAAGGCTGAAGTGAAGGGACCTTTCCATCAGTCTTCTTCCCACTGTCCCCTGCTGCCTTCAGAGACTACTAATAGGTCCTGCCATGCTTGCCTCTGCCTATGAAAATAAAAGATGGTAGAGAGAGCATTGCGCAAAGGGCACACAGCTTTTCTTTATGTGAAAGGCTCTCAGAGGTGTGGTTTGCCCATCAGCTTCAGGGAGGAGTGTCCATGGCATCAGCTACCGAGGGCCTGGTGCCCTCAGAGGAGATTCTTATTTTGGAGGCGGGGGAGGAGGGGTACCCACCTGATTGGCTTCTGTTATCATTCATATCATTTCACTGTAATAAAAGCCAATTCAGCTGGGCATTGGTGGCACACCAGTGCTTTAATCCCAGCACTCGGGAGGCAGAGGCAGGCAGATATCTGTGAGTAAAAGGAAATGCCAGGCTCCA